TACAACGGGCAGCCAGAGGGAGTTCACCCACAGTGCTGTGTCTCCCATGGCGCCTGTGGGTGTGTATACAACTACACTTAAAATAGAATTTCTGCCCTAGAAGTCCCTTACAAAAATACGATGTTCCTAACGTGGAAGTGAGCTAACCCTCCTCCTAATTTTAGAATAGTGCGTGCCCAGTACTAGAAAAATGCTGTGCTAAAAATGCTCTGTATTTGCATCTGTAATGCTGCCTTCTTTACTAGCGTTTCTCATTGCTGACTCTCGTCTCAGCTTCTTATACTCCCGTCTGACCGTGATCAATATTGTTTTCCTTAAATTAGCCAGTTTTTCGTTAATGATAACAATACCAACAAAAGAAGAAGGGAAGGCAGAGAGTATAACGTTACAACTATTTCTCCAAAAGGAAGAAGTATTACCCGGAATGCATCGAGGAAATATAGTGAGAGATGACGGAGGAAAATAAGGGAAGGAAGATTTCCTCACAAGGAGGTTTTAAGTAGAGTCTGGCAATGATCTCCCAAAGGAAGTAGTGGAAGTCTGGTCACTTAAATCAATTAAAACTAACCAGAGCATTGCACTCCACAGGACTCTGTAAGGAGAAAAGCAGCATCGGACTGACCTAAAATAGATTTGCATGCTTATTTTCTGCAGGGCTGCTGTCTGTATTTTGCCGGTAAATTCAATATGGCTAATGCTGATTAACAACTCTCTTGATGGTGATTATAGCATTGCATTATTTCCAGCCCGTTCCTCAGTATCATAAACTCATGAGGGCATGGACATACAAAACATGTCCCCTGGCTCAGCTAGCTCAATCTTGAAGACAAGTGGCAGATAAAGGGCTGGAGAACTTTCTTGCATTCACCTTAGCAGTGGTCAGGCTTGTTATCACCACAACGCTGAATTGACGTAGACCTCCATACCACATGCTGAGCGTGGTGTACCTGTGGCAGCACGGCAGAGGCAGGAGCTGCATATGGACCCCCAGTGGTTGATCTCTTGGATTGCTGTAGAGCAAGAAGATGTGCCAGGCGTCTTAGGTAGGGCTGCAGTACCCATGTCCTCTGTGCACTAGGTGTGCAGAAGGGTTTTAATGCATACAAGACCAGCTGGGGACAGGAGCAAGAGAATATAAAGTGATTTGTCCTTAGACTTGGCAGGGTGTTTGGCATGTTTCAAGTACACAAGAGAAGTCCTCTCCTGGCCTGCCTTGAAAGATAAGGGAAAGCAAGCCTCCGAGAAGCTGAGATCTTTGCTTTGCCTTTCTTGTCTGTGTGGGCATTGTTGTTTTGTATGTATGTTTTACCTTTTCTCTGCCTGGTTTTCTTGTAGCCAGTCAATTCCATTTAAACAACAGAAATGGGTAGACATTGGAATAAGGCAGATGATTGGAGGGCAGGGAAGCAGTGACTTGGCATGTGAGCTTGGACAAGGTGCCCAGTGGAGGTTCCCAAAAAATTGACCTGCCTACTTAAACATTAATTTACATGGAAAATAAGGTTTAAAAGCAAACAAGTCTTGGACATATGGCATCTTATGTACAGTAGGGGAAGAAAATAAACTGAGATTGTTGCTGGCATGTGTTTTACCCATCCAGCAAAGGTCTCTCTCACATGTAAATGAAGACTTGTATCAGAGAAATAATCTGTTTCCTTCTGCAAACACAGGTCATCTTGGTTTCACTAACTGTTTTCACTGGGATGCATCAGTCAGGTCAAATCATTTTAAAAGACTGTTCTTACCTCTTCCTACAGAAATGTGTGTGTGATGGTAATACATGCAGCTTCGAAGCCTTTTCTTTCCCAATGTGCAGTGCTCATATCCACGCTCCAGTGCCTCGATTCCAGCCTTTCTGCCAGAATGCATCAGATGTGGGCGGTCCCAAAGCTGGTGGGGCTGAGGCAGGGGACCTGCCACGGGAGCCAAATCAATATTTAGACAGCTTCAGGCGACAGAGATTGCACAGGCTTTCACACTTGGCAGCAAGCTTTGCATCCGTTTGTTACCAAAGTTATTGTTTGTGCAGTTTCAAGCATTGGCACTTGAGAGATTCGTCCCTGAGGGCAATGACAAGCCGGGTGCTTGAAAAGAAACTTTCCCCCTTTGGATCTGAAGATTGTGAGAGTGAGGAAAGTTGTGAAACCGGGTAGATCTCGTAACGAAGTCAAGGCACATATTTGACCAGCGTTTTCATCATCCTTCACTTGAGGCATCTGCCAGGCATCGTGGCGAGCCCACAGCACAGTCTCAGGCTCTGCTTCTGATACATCCAGCTGTTGCATTATCTGTAACAGCTGTCTTGCTGCTCTTTGTTATCACGGTGGTTTAATGGGAGTGAAAACCTGAGTCAGTGTGGGAGACAGCCTTGCTGTGGGGTGGTATGAGTCAGCCCGAGGCTCTGCAGCCGGAGGACAGGCAGGTGAAACCCTGGCCCAGCACAGAACATTATTCTAATTTGCTTTCCAGTCATTCCACCTAGTGGCCAAGTGACACAACTGCCAGGAGAGCTGGGTTTGTGCTCCAGAGTCCCTCCTCATCAAAAGGGACCCAAAAACCCCGGACAGTATTTATGGCTGCTCCTACGGACCTGCGCTGCTGCGGAGCTTACAAGATGTGTAGGAATATGTAAGCCCCTACACTGAAGATTTTATCAAAGAGAAACATTGCCCTGCGAGTAGCTCATTAAGTTCCCGAGCAATTTTGTTAATCATGCTGCATAGATAAAATGCAGATAGGCCTTTAGTGAGCTGATAATCTAACAAATAGGCAGAAAGTGTAACACTGATAAAGCAGAGATCGGTTTAATAGCCAGCTGTAAATCTAGGCAATTCTGTACCAGAGGCATATGGTAAAACAGGAATGTGCAAGTGCGTAAGTAAGTGCATGAAAATGCGCTCTTTCTTAAAATAGCAGACACAGCAGTAATATTATGTATGGAAAAGCTATTGGGAGCAATTTTAGAGGTGTTTTAAAATATTTTTCTCTCCATCAAAGTCCGCACCACTTGTGCTGTCTTCATAATCCAGCATCACAAGTGCAGATCTATGAATAACAAAGGCTTGTTTCTGGAAGACAGGATTTTCTATAAAAATCTGTGAGCTCTACCACTGGTCCTGAGGCAGTGTAAGGAATTTATACGCTTTTCATTGGGATGAACCAAATTATTCACTCAGATTTATGCTAATCACGAATAAGACCATCACAAATTCATGGTCTGATGTCTCACCGACCTCTTGAGCAGCTCTTTGCTCAGGGCTGTTAATTCAATTGGAAGGACAGGGAAAAGCAGCTCACCTTCAGAGGGTATCCCATACCTACTGGATAGGATATCCTTCTGAGGAGCTGGGAAATGTGAGTTTGAATCCCCACAGCCTAGGGAAGGGACCTGGTCTCCTACTTTCTGGGTCCTGCCTCTGATCTTTAGGCTATTTTACGAAAAGGGGACAGCAGTGCTTCCTCTTCTTGTTTGTTTTAAAAGAAGAAACTGAGCTGGGGACACCTACCAGGGACACCTACAGCCAGAGCGAGGTTGCAGGCTGTGCATCCCAACCTCACATAGGTGTGCAGGTGCACACGTAGGTGCCAGATGTGGTTGCTGTTGGCTGGTTTAGCTGTCTGCTCTGAATCACATCTAGATGCCTTTCCTTGGTATGCAAAGCACAGGGAACTCAAATTTGTGAATACGACTTGTAAGCAAGGCAAGAAGGTGTCTTGGTGAATCGAGACTGAAGTGACTTGCCAGGGTCATGTAGAAGGTGGTTGGTGCAAGGGGAAATTGAGTTGTGGTCTCCCAAATCTCAACTTAGTGGCCAAACCACCAAATCTCCTTTTTGTGGAGAAACCATTATCCTTGATGGTGAGCCCTGGTTTTGAAGCAGCCTCTCGCTGCTTCATAGAGAGTAGAGTTTTTCCAGTACCTTTGTTTCCTGCCCATTGGGAGGAAAAAATGCAACAGAAGTTAGTGCCAGAGCATTTTTCGTCAAAAAATAGACTATCTATAGTTTACCATGTGGCTTAGCAAGTTATTTGATAGTTATATGTGAAGATATCACTGTAAAAAAATTGGGGGGAGAAAGTGTGTATTTTTTAATATATGATATGTGAATGTAAAATACAGTGTAGATGGTATGATGGGGAAAAAAGGACGAGTAGTGGTGCATAACTCAGACCTGGAACAGTTGGTTGGAGATCACTCTCCTGGAAACAGTTGTTACTCTTTCTACAAAGAAAATGGTGGAAAATTAAGTACTGAGGTGGGACTCAGAGTGATTTGTATCACCTGAACAGTGAATATGGATTTCTTTCCTCTTAGCCGTACCTTAGACTCACTAAAATCAGGAACAGTATGAGGAGAATAATCTCTATGGGATGGAGAAAAGAGCTGTGCAGTCAGTACTTACCTATTATTTATTCAGCAATGGCTTGCAAAACTTTGAGAAGAAAAAAAAGGAACCAGTTTGCTCTTGAAAGAGGCAGAAAGATAAGGAGGCAGAAGGATATTTTCTGTTGAATTTTTCTATAGTATTAAATGTTTCCTTCCCAAAACACTTTTGATATTTAAGGGGTATCGTAAACTTGAAACCACTGTTCACCAGAGCTTCCATAAGGGCAGAAGAATCAAATTTGAATTGGTACTTTCAGGGTGGCGGGCTGCATCACAGTTAAAATAAGAACCATCCAAGAATTAGCAGCGTCTACACCAGCCTGTTTTGTCATTCTTTTATTACAGCAGAGTCTTAGTTCATAGGCCTTCGAGATACTTGGGAAAAATGATGCTCAACTCAACCTGTACAATGATGTACAGGAGCAGCATAAAGGGAGCGGTGCTAGTTACTGGATGTAGCGTCGTTGCTGACCTGATAGACAAATAACTGGTACTGAGCAGTATTTATTTCTGGACGCTAGATCTGTTAGGTTATCTAACTACGTGATGAGGGACTTGGGATGATTGCAAGAGCTGATGGTAACGCTCGCCATTTCCCTCTCTTTTTTTGCAGGTCACTGTCAGGGGATTTGGTCCATTGTTACAGTTTGCCTACACTGCTAAGCTGTTACTCAGCAGAGAAAACATCCAGGAGGTCATCCACTGCGCTGAATTCCTGCGCATGCACAACCTGGAGGACTCCTGCTTCAGTTTCCTTCAGACACAGCTGCTGAACAACGAAGATGGCCTGTTCCTGTGCAAAAAAGATACCGCCTGTCAGCGCATGCACGATGAGGAGAACTCGGATGGAGACGAGGAGGAGACGATGGAATCAGAGACGTCAAAAATATCTTGCCCAAGAGAGAGGATGCACCAAGAGCCCTTCAATTTTGAAACCACAGTTGCTGGAGCAGACAAAGGTGAAGGGATGCTGCCTGACTCCGACATGCTGAGAGATAGCAAGGACAATTTGGACAAAGATGCAGTAACACGGTACCCCAGATACAAGAAATACCAGCTTGCTTGTACCAAGAATGTCTACAACACATCACACATCAGTACCTCAGGTTTTGCAAGCACATTCAGCGAAGAGAGCTCTGGAAATGGCCTCAAATCAGGACTTGCTATGGGGCAGATAAAAAGCGAGCCTCAGAATGAAGAGAACGATGAAGAAAGCATCACACTTTGCCTGTCTGGAGATGAACCTGACATCAGGGATAAAGAAGGGGATGTTGAAATGGACAGGAAACAGCCAAGCCCCACTTGCATCGACAGGCCAAAAAGTGGGTCCTCTCCTTCTTGCTTGCGGTCTTTCTTCAACAGAACAAAAAGCATAGATTTGGTTGGCTTCCCCAGCACTTCCCAACAGCACTTTGGCAGGAGTCCAGCATGCCCTTTTGAAAAAGGGACAACTCAGGGTGACCACAAAACTGATTACGTCCCTTTCACAGGGAACTATGGACAGTCCCATGCCATGCAGAAGGATGCTTCCAACTTCACAGTGGGATCGCCGCTCAGGGGGCCCGGCTTTGAAACTCTCTGTAAGCAAGAAGGGGAGCTGGACAGGAGGAGTGTTATATTCTCTTCAAACGCTTGTGACCAAGTAAACACTTCGGTGCATTCATATTCTGGTGTGAGCAGCTTGGACAAAGACCTCACTGAGACTGTGCCAAAGGGTCTGTGGGCTGGCGGTAGCCAGTCTCTCCCCAGCTCTCAGACCTATTCGCACAGCGGACTGACAGCTGATCACTTGCCGGGAAGGATGCGGCCGAACACCAGCTGTCCGGTGCCAATTAAAGTTTGCCCTCGCTCTCCTCCTTTGGAAACCAGAACCAGGACCTCCAGCTCGTGCTCTTCCTACTCGTACGCAGAGGACGGCAGTGGCGGCTCTCCCTGCAGTCTGCGTCTTTGTGAGCTCTCCTCTTCCCCTTGCTCCCAAGGCCCCCGATTCCTGGCGCCCGAGCACCAGGAGCCCGGCGTGGTGGGGGATGGATTGTACAACCCAGTCCGAGCCCAGATTAAATGTGAGCCATCCTATGGAACAAACTCCAGCGATGAGTCTGGGTCATTCTCAGAAGCAGACAGTGAATCATGTCCTGTGCAAGACAGAGGGCATGAGGTAGGGATTTAAGATAAGTACATATATCACAGTCATTGTGACCCAATTAATCGCTCCTTTATTCTCTTGAATGACTTGGCATTTCCCCAGCACTTACTTTGTTTGTAGAGCGAAAGAGTAACTTCTATTCATTCCCTCGTCAGCTGAGTGCGCATGGTTGACTTCACGTAAATAGGTCTGCTTGACCTCTGAGGTGTTTGGCGCTTATCAGAATTTGGGTATGGGGCAATAGCAAACTGCTGAATGATGAGAGTGCATTGATGTGCTTAGGAGTCTACTAGCACTGTTCTGTCCTCCTCCCTCCTTCACCCACGGCACGAAGCACCGTTCCTCACCCTTAGTTTGCCGATGTGGTTCTAGTTCCACTTGTTGTTGCTGCTGGTGTGTTTGAGCAACCTCAAGCTGTGCCTTCGCTGGCACCGAGCGTTGGGCAGCCTGCACCAAGAGCCCCTGCTGCATATCACTGACAGCCCGAGTAGAGGAGGCAGACAGAGTGGGAGGAGAAAGAGGTTGAAATGACTTGAACAGTTGCATAGCTGGCCACCCTCGGCTGCAGGAATGGTGTGCAAGTCATCGCGGGGGGGGGGTTTCACATGCAGGTAATGGGTTTTGCCTCCGTTAAGTGACAACTGAGATGATGTTTTCTGCCCATGACCCCACTTTGTTTGGTGGTGACCTCTAGCAGCCATTGCATAAATGGTCTCAAAGAGGAGTTATCCTTTAATTTACAGGACTGTTAGGAGAATGGGAGGGGGACGGTCAGGGACTGGAGAGCAAGCTATAATTGTCATGCAGCTCTCCTGTGAGAGGGAGGAGAAAGGTGGCCTGCTTTGAAACTAGAGATGGGCCAGCTGGAGATGCTGCAGTGATAACTGACTAACCATGATCAAATAAACTAAGTGAAGTCACTAGTTTGAGGGAAGACTTAAATCATGGAGAAGCGTTGTGGAGCCCAGAAACTGAAAAAAGACTGGATGTTTTAATAGAGTTTCATTAGGAAGCGGCATGACCTGGAGAGCACCTGTGCACAATCACGTATCTGGCTCCTCTAGTTAAACACTGAAACGCTCTGCTGAGAGCTTGTGCTTCAGCATGGGGAGCAACAAGTGCAAGTTTGGGGGGTTCACATGCTGTGAGCACTCAGGACAGAACCAGTTGGGTTTAGTTGTAGGTTAGGGATGAAAAGAGTGAACTTTATTTTATCCCTCAATCCTTATTCTAGCTACATCCCAAGCTCTGGAACATACCTTCCAGACAAACATGGATGATTCCTTTAGTTGGGTGGTTTTCTGCCTAGCTCTAAGGAAGAGCTGAAGAGCCTGGGGAGCCTCTGGTGTCCTAAGCCCTGTCATGCTGTACCTGTGGTTTTGAGAGGATGGCTCTTGTTTGTCCCCATGTCCTGAGCTGGGGACAATGCAGAAGGGAGAGGAGTCTCCTTGGAAGGCTGCCTGGGATACTGTGCATAAGACCTTATTTGGGAAGCCCTACAGCAGAACCACTCTGCTTGGCAATACCAGCGTTACTCGGTGAAGTCCTGCCTTTATGAGGGGCAGAAGGGAGCAGGGAGTGGGACTGAGGCGAGCGTCAGATCTCCACCCACGTGTGTTGCTTGCTCAGCAAGGGCTAATGCGCATCCTGAGGCAGTGAAGAGGGCGGGAGGTTAGCCTTGTGGGGTTTGATGACTAATTAGCTATCATAATTGGCTAATTGTGTGGAGATGCTGCAACAGAAATGAGCCCGGAAGAGTCAGATGAGAAAGGTATAAGGGATTGTTGGTGGTTTCCCGAAAAAAGTGTGCGAATGTGTGCAGGAGAGCAGGGATGAGAGGAGGGACCTTCACGAGAGGAGCAAGCGGGTGGGGTACAGGAGGCCATCTCCATGGCAGGCTCTGGGGCAGAGCTAGGAAGGGTTTGCTCCCCTCCTAGTTTTGCTGCTGATTTCCTCCTGGGAAGATTTTCTGCACCACGCTGAGCAAGTTTTCTCACTGGGACTGCTGATAAGGGGGTTTTTTTGCCTTTTTTTTTTTTTTTTCCCCCAGGGCATTTTGATTAGGACTGCTAGGCATTAAAAATGTGGTGAGGAAATTAATGTTCCATGAGGTTGCACTGCACTATCTCGAGCAAGCAAAAGGTAAACAGATCACACCAGTGCTTCGGTAGAAATTTTGTCTGAAAAATGAATTTGTAAAGGTTGTTACCAATACAAGAAAGGACATTGCAGCCTCATTAAACAATGTTGTATTTACACAGTGACTTGGGGTGTATCCTGCAATCCTGCAAGATCCACTGCTGTGGAAACCTCAGTGAAGGATACATTAAACCAGGCAGTAGAAAATATCTAATGGCAACAGAAGTTCTTGTATCAGTAGCTCTACCTACTTTTAGCAATTTGACTGCCTTTAAAACAGCAGGAGAGACTCACAGCAGTCTGAAATGGTCTGCTTTCTGTCCTTTGCCTCCCCTTAAGCTGCATGGGAATCTTTCTCCATTCCCGAAATTGTCAGTCTGCCCTTGCTGTCCTGATGACTTCTCAGACAAGTCCCTTGCCCCCTGTCATATCAGATGACACAGTGTTTGCTGGGCTTCTCTTCAAAAAGCACCTGATAAGATAGCTGGGGGTGACACACAGGTGCTCACCCCTCCGGAGAGCAGTCATGCAGGCTCTTCTGCTGCAGGTGGGCTTTCATTTGGGTGGGATGGCCTGATGGGAATAAGCCTGATGGACTCTGACCCTCGGTTATCTCACAGGGCTGCTCAGTTCCACTGGAATTTGGACCTTGCTGGTCTTGATCTGGGTCCCGGAGTGCTGTCGGTGCCAGAATTAATGTCACAAAATATCATTTGCTGGTGTATTGATTGTGTGAGAAGTAGGTGAAAGATTTCTTCTCTCTGCTTTTTTCGGGCACTCTGCTTTCCTGCAGATGGATGCCATTCAGGAGCGCATGCCCAAGTTGTTCAGTGCTAGGGCTCAGCGTGCGTGCCGTGCGGGTGAAGGTGACCCTGCTCTGTGGCCAGCCTCCCTGTCCCATACAGGGGTGCAAGTGTGAGAGGAGGTGGCGGTCCCCATAACACTGCCGCTAAATCCTCTCCGGGATGTCTTTGCCTTTTGTTTTCCTTCCTGTTAAGGGAGCCACCCAGAATCTTCTGAGATTTCCCTTTCTTAAGGCTTCATGATAGAAGCAGCAAGTGCAATGTGGGGTATCCCTGTGTTACGGAGTTGCAGGAAGGGGGCCATTACTTGACCTGCTGGGACTTTACAGGAACATTTAACAGTTTGTGTTGCTCTTTTCACCCAGCTCACTTAGGCCTCCACATGTTGTTAAAAATCAATTATTGGGATATAATACTAGAGAGAAGACTTACGCTTGGTGCTTGCAGGCAGGTTCTGACAATCCTGCTTAAAATAGCAACAACAAAACAATAAGTCCTGAAATAATTTGTTGAGAAGGAAGTAGTCTGTCAATCTGTTAACCTACTTAGGAACAGAAACTTCAGCACTGCCTACTTTTCTTGATACTCATTTTCTTCAGCAAGTGTCTATGGGTTTTTTTCTGCTAGAAAACTTGTAAAAAATATTGTACTGCTAAACCAGTTAAAAAGAAATCTCAGCTCAGTCCAATTTGATGAGTGAGTTTTCTTAGGAAAAGCATAAACAAGGGTAGGAGGAGGTACAAGGTGCAGTTTTCCAAGAGCTGCATTGAATTGAATTGCATTCAATGCGTCTTTCATTTATATTTCAAAAGAATTTCCCGCCTGGGTTAGTGACTCACTTTTAAAAGGAAATTTTCATAAAGGCAGAGCTAATGCAATTGGACCATTGAGGATATTGTAGGCAAATAACCTTCAGTGAGAGTCCAAAACCCTCCATGTTAAGTGACAGGCAGCCACCCTTTCTCTGTTCGTCTGCTGATGCTTAGCAGAGTCAGAACCCCAGCAAAAGGGGGTAAACCAAAGTTGCCCTACCAGAAATCTACTGGAGCTGTGCTGAGTCACCTAAGCTGAGTCTTCTTCACTGCTTGACGTTCCTACTCAGTGAAGAGTGTTGTGTAGAAAGAAGGACAAACAAGGAAAATGCATGTGAAGGTGTTAACCTGCTTTTGTATGTAGTTCCTCCCCAGAATTTGGTGATCGGTCACCCCAGCTTTCCTGATCTTACTAGGTTTATAAATTTGAAAATGAGAAAGTTATTCTCCATGTTCTTCTCTGGTGGATGTTTGCCTAACCGGGATACTCGGCGGCATCAGCAGAGCACTGGGAATTGTGTTTGGCAACATCTGGTTAAATGGAGTCTTGTCAAACATCGGTCTTGCAAGATAAACTTCATGGCAGTTTTGTTTTCTTTCCTCTCTTCAGTAGGAGTGATATCCATGCCAGTAGCAGAGAATTACTGGATTATAACAACAGTATGAGTTTTCCATTACAAGCTTGAAATTTCAGGAAGGTCCTTTTAAACACTGTTATTTCATTGCAGCCTACAATCAATTCTGTTATGCCCTGAGCTGAAGCCCTTGCTGGAGCGCTTGAAGGACTCTTTCCACTTCTTGTATTTTTTCTGCAAAAGCAGATTTTTCAGAGAAATACTGCACTTTATCCCCCCTCGTTTCACTGCCTGATCTGCCCTTCTCAAATGCCTCTACAGCTTCTGTCAGGGTTTCTGTGCTATCCCTGTTCACAGAAAAGCCTGTTAATGGGCAGGAGTACTGTATTGTCATGCCCTTTGTAGGGCTGGAAGCTGAGGACACTGCAAGCAGTGAACAAGAAGAGGTCAGCCCAGCATTTTAAGCACCAGTGGTGTGTGATCTGAATACAAGTCCAGGTCATGGGCTAAAGAATGAGAGCTCCATCCACATCTCCCGATTGTTGGGTTAAAGCCCTCAGCCATAGGACTAGCCCCTTCCCCCAGTTCTCTGACGCAGGTGGCAAATCAAAAGGTTACCCAGGCTGCCTCCACTGAGTGCACAGCAGTGCCCTCTCAGGCAGCATTTGCTGACCCAAACACCTCTCATGGCCCTCAGGAGGGGCTGGAGTTGACCCCAGGCACGTACGTGGCCATCAGTTGTGTTGTGGCAGATAGGACAGGCTGTTTGCAGTGGGACCTGCTGAGCAAGCCCATTTCAGACCTGGTTTGTTGACAAAATGGTAGATCTTCACTGCCTGGGCTCGCCGTTCTCCTCTTGCAGTCCTCTGCCATCTTGGTGTGGCTGACACCTGAAAAGAAGAGGTGCTTTGAAGGCTTTACCTATGCCAGTAGACAGCGGGGTGAGGAAATGAGTGAGAGTGCATCCTGCATGTCCTTCATCTTACACAAAGTGTGGCCCATTGGCTTTGTGCTTCTTAGATAGCCTCTGTCCGAGTGAAATCAGGTGGGTCCCTATTCTGTGGGACCACAAGCGGTGCCTGAAATAGCGTGTAGGCAATTGAGCCCCTAACACAGGTAGACACACCTCAATTCCTGTCCTGGGATGACTTTCTTCCTGAGCATTTGTGGAAGACAGACTTGCACGCTAAGGAAGATACTAGGAAAAACAGCATTAATGTGATGGGCTCTTCTATGTGAACCAAATTACCCCTTTCTACAGCAAAAAAGCATTGATATGATTCAGCCCCTGTGCTAGATTGCTTGGGTGGGTCCTGAGAGCTTTCCAAGGGCTGGGCAATTTTAAGTGTCAGAGGCTTTCAATAACTCTGGCTTTCAATTTAAAGGCATTAAGGCAACAATTTTATTTCTTACAACTTTGGAGCAACTGTCCAAGATTTTGAACCATTTATAAAGGTCAAGCTGATACCTTGAGTTCCACTCTCCCATGCCCAATACATAATGATTACTTTTTCTTACGGATAATATATGAATCCTTTCAGTTACTGTGATGTTAAGCCAGGCTTGGGAAGTTCGTTGTCTTTACTAGCACTTGGCAGCTCAAGGAAGATGATGTTGAAATTTAGATATAAAGAAAGAGTGAAAAAGCTAATGTTACTCATGAGATAAGGAAATTCCCAACACTTGACATTTATAGTTTAATGCGAGTGAATACAGGGCCTTGGTCCTTTCCTTTATTCCAAAGAAAAAGAGAGGGGGGAGAGCAACAGCAGCAGTAACTAGTACAGTACGTGAGCGGCACAGCAGTCACTGGCACATGATCCAAGCTGGCACTAACTAGTGAAGCTTGAAGGAATTAATTGGTTATATGTGGGCCTTTCATGTGCTGAGTCAATGGCTGTCCCTGTCTGTCTAGATCGCTGCTATTACTTAGCCGCTCAAAGCAATGACATTTACACTGGCATCCTAATGCTAATACAGGGGGGAAATGCCGCAAAAATCATAAACAAGTTTTCTTTTTCACCAGGGTGGGTTGGCTGTCCTCTCAGGGGTGCATCAGCCAGTCAGGGGCAATAGAGGCTGCAGTGGTGGCAGAAAGTGCCGGTTTATTCGTTGTGTGGTGGAAACAGAGCCTCT